TACTAGTGATAGTGCTGTAGTTTGTTTGAAAAGTCATGATATGAAATAATGCCTGAACTAATGTGTTGAGGTGAAATTCCAATGTAAATGTGACAACATGTAAAATACTGATATTATGGGAAAATAAAATTTGAGGAGGGAAATACATTACTAATTAATGACAAGTATGGTGAGAAAATGGGGTTGGTGTGCTAAATATACATGAACTCCCCCCCCCCCCAAAAAAAAAACACCACAAAAAATTAAAAAAAAAGAATTGAGAATACCCTTTTTACCCCAAAGTTATTATAGAACCGTGTCTGGGTTAAAAGTGAATTACAGGAAGTTTTATTCACCAATCATTTAACATGAATTAAACTTCAAACCAAATAATCGCCTTCATTTATTTATTAATTTCATTCACTTATAATGTATTTATTAATTTCATCTCTTCAGGTATTTATTTTGCTAGGAAGCAACATGAAGAATCCTCCAAAATCCTTCCATGTGCAGGAAAGTAACAGCAGATTCTTATTTACTAAAACTTTCAAGGGCATCAAGTTTTCTATGGACCCCATAAAGTATCAGTGATCAGGCTGTACCATCCTCAGTCATTGCAAGATCCTCTGATGAAACCTTTGGATGGATTTTGAAGTCTCTTGGCGGTTTGTTTTAAATATTTTCTCAGGTCTGCTGTGTGTACCTCGGGTACATTTTTGTGCTTTACAATGTACATTTTGTTGAAAAGGTAAGGAATGTCTATGGGGAAACCACTGAACTGGACATCAGATCATTATCCTTATTCTGACAAAAAGCATCACCTACACTAGCTGGTAAATTGCCTCTAAATACTATAGCCTTTTACCAGATCTGTCAGGCAAAAACTCCCCTGCGACCCTCCTTTTTCTTTCATCCTCTGGAGGCAGGTTGACAGGTATTGTTCAGGCTTGGCGAGCTGTGGTATTCAGCTACTTTAGTGAGCATATCTCGGGTCTGTACTGTCCAGTTTCACAATCAGTCTTCCTGCTGAATAGATAAGGGTGCCTAAGTAGTGTTGGTTTATCGAACTGTACTTTCATTCTGTGGGCATTGGCCTGACTTGGCGAAAAGTTGAAGTATATTGCAGATGGTTGAATTATGGTGTACCTTGGATACTGACATAATGCTGGACCAAAATTGGGTAGGTACAGTTTTCCACTTGAGGGAAAAAAATCCTGATTTGAAAAAATGAGTGATATGAAAAAATGTGAATAACAAAATTCATATGAGTGGATGAAGTGTGACTGCACTGTAGAGAATCCTGAAACACAGTGACTGGTGAAAAGATTTGGATATTTGCCAACTTGTCAACTTGTCAGCACTACATGATGTGAATTAAACAACTTGTAAGGGAAGGATCGGATGATACTTGCAGCTTTGGCGGAAATATTTAGTGGAAGAGGTGGGACTTGGGAGATGGATCAAACAGATTTTTGTATATGTTGTGACTTCATGTACTTTTGGTGGGTTGAATTTCAACCCCAATAAATGTTTCCTTCAAAATCATGTCTTAACCAATGACCTTGTACATGTTACATTTACATGATGTTACCTAAACTATACAGCTATTTATTCCAAGCCAGAGGGGCATTGACTCATGACTAAGGACCTACCCATATTGATTAACTGGATTATCGACTTAGCTCAGAAGCAAAACATCTTTTCACTTGGCGGTCCAAGAAGAATAAGGGGAATCAATGAGCAAAATGTACCAGATGCAAGGAGGCAAAGTGCTGTTTGTATGTAAACAGCCCTTTCTCACGGATGTGCTCAACAATGAAGACGCCCCATAAACCAATTAGTCCAGTAGACGTGAACGTATGTGAGCGGTTGATATTTTTGAGTGCATAACCAGTGTACGTTAGCTTCACCAGTGGTGTTATAATTTCTCTTCTCATTTCGACACGCATGTGTGTACATGAACCTTGTACAATAACTGCACAGTGTACAACAGTCAGTTGCTCCATTATTCCTCACTCTTTGGCCTAAAATGCTCTTCTAAAATCCACTGATCTGAATATATCTCAGTATCCAGAACCACACCAACTTCAGAAAACCAATGTGTGCAGTTGGAGTGTACCGGTACTATGCCGCTGATGCAATTCCATTTATATTATAGCAGTTACTTTCCCCCAGCTAATTACTTCACAAAGCCATGAGATAAGCGTGACCTTGATGTGAATGGAGTAGCAGCATTTTATAGTAGTCCAAATATTAGTCTGGAATAAACAAGGTGAGTGCATTATGGCATTTTTTTAAGCCATAGTTAGTGTGATGGATGACTGATGAGGCATCTGCTGTAGTATTATTGCACAGGCTTCTGATTTCGCGGATTATTTTACATGTATAATGTACATCGTGTGAAGGTATGTCAACTTTCTTAAGAATTTACGAAAGTTATGACCAAAAAAGTATAAGTCGAATGATTTAACCATGGAGGAATAAGAACACTACCCAAAAAAGTGAATTTATATTGGTGTTTGTTTCTACTTGTTTGGCATCTTACCATCAGTGCAAACTACTGCAGACTGGGTAATGTATGATTACTGGTGGGATTTAAAAGCCTACAGGTAAGACATTTTGAAATATGTTGAAAAAAAGGTGATCCTAAGGGCTATTACAAGATAGCCAATAGGTCTAACTCTATTACGTGTACATGTACAATCTATATGGTTTTGGTATTTTTAGCACAAGGCCCACACATGTTCACTTTGTACACTAACAATTTGAAAGTGCTACTTTATAATTGATGAATCCCCCACTGAAAGAACCTTGACTATCTAAAATCTGAGGTTGCTGACAAACAAGCTGCGAAAAACCTTCGCACTCCTCAGAAAAACGGTTGTGGGTGTAACAAAGGTCATAATTTAAACATGGAGTGGAAATCAATGACTGGCAATGTGGAGGTGTTTTGTGAACATCCTTGAGAAGGACTTGAAAACTCACTACGTTGCTAAGCTGGTTATCCTGCGTGGAATGCCAAATGATTCTATGTGGATTTACTGTACTGTCAATTGTCATAAAGTATGTAAATTCTATTGCACTGTGAAGAACACGTAGAGGATCTTTTGCTCTCTTTGCATTTATTTTTGTTTGTTTAAAGCAACGATATTGCTTACAAATCTAAAGTAGGGGGTGCATACATTGTAACAACTAACCTGGAATTTTTAGCTCAGAGGAAACGTCCTTCAGTGATTACTTTCTTTTGATCAAAACTATTTCTGGTGGACTACCGGTACTTTCACAGGGTTTTGGGATGAGCTCTGTCTTCACTTTGAGCAAGTTTTTTCTCAGTAAATTATTACATGTACTGGTAGACCTGTGTGTTTGTGGGTAATTACCAATGTTCCTACGTGCCTTTATGTGGCTATGTGAGTCTGGAAACAGGACGCATGCATTCACAGAGAATTTAGGTAAACTTGATTTGAGCAAAGACTGTGGTGATGTGAAAATGCAAGGCCTTTTGATTTGATAATGTGGGAATGTTACATGTACATGTTACATGTACCCGGTATGTTTAAAAATGAAAGAGCTCTTAAGGCCAAAAAAAAAAATAGTCGGTCTCTGGTCAGACCGAAGTTCAGGAATTGATGCGGCGACGCGTTTTTTTTTTTGTGGCTTTTTTTTTCTTCAAGCTTGTATTGTATAGACAAGGTGGGTACTATTTTGCTTTTTTGTGTCCTCATTATACATTGGTGTCCTCCATAATTTACCTTGGTGCCCTTTATCATTTGCCTTGGTGCAATTTCCCCATTCCTTGGTGCTCCTTGGTACAAAAATTTGAGGAGGCGCGGCAATAGAGGGCGCTGTTGTAGCTTCCGTGTTAATTAAAAAAGAAAGAAAAGGTTGACGCGCATGATTAAAATCGATGCGCGCGCTGACCAGAGACCGAGTATTTTTGTTTGTTTGGCTTAACAGTAAGAAGTCGAAACGTGAAGCCCTGAGTGCTTGGCTTAAGTCTGAAATTCAATACCAGAATTAAAAAACGCTTTTTTTCCCACAATTTTAGAGTCTTTAGCTGTAGAGAACAATATTAATTTGTGAAATTGAAATTGTATTTAACATCTTTTTTTGGTCTTGTTTGTTTTTTTGGTTTTAAACAGACATCACTGTTGCGGTTCACGTGCAATACATCTGTAACTGTTACAGTCTTGCGCAAATTTAACTTGTAAATGTGAGGGAAATTTATAAATTCTCCTCAAATTGAAAACATCCTTGATGCTTATGACATGAGGGAAATCCTGAACCCAATTAACTGAGTCAACCATTCATGACCAGAAATCCTTCTTTATGTGTACATGTACACAATTTTGACTGGTAAAATATTTTTCTCAGAGAAAAATTTCCTCAAGAATCAATCGATTCCAAGACTGATTTTTCTTGATGCATTTGCAAGCTTTAGAAAAGTTCTAAAGATCAAGAGCACTCTACATTTCCAAGAATTCTGTACATGGCACCACCGATTCTGCCAAATTTTGATCCCGTGTACAACCAATTAATTCACTGTATGTTTCCCACAACTTTTTTTTCTAAAGTTGAATGAGAAAGTTGTGGTTTTGAGCCTGGTTTTTCCCTTTGTTATTGTAGGAAGGATGTCTGGTAGTACATTGGTGCTGTAAATATTTATAACCATGACGTGGTTGACATCCTGTGTACAGTTTTATTTATAAATACATGTATGTATGTACCATACTCTGTTCGGAGCTTAAAAATGGTGGGCAGTGGTGTTAAGGCAGAATCAAATAAAAATGTAAGGTAGCACTTCAAATGACTTACTACATGTATAGATTGAACGTTTGCAATAAGCTTTTGTTGTGACAGCTACTTCATCAGATGCATACATGTTCAGAGCTTGTTGAATTTTGAATTTACAACTTTATAAAGATGAGTTTTAAGTATAGAATTTTGAACTTGCAACTTTTTACAGTTTTAAGTATACTTTAAGTGTCTCATTTGGTTTTTCTTTGGATTTTTTTTACTAGAATGGATGGTGCAGAGTTGTATTGTTTTGAAGACTTTGAGAGTCAACTTTCTCCTGGAGAGCATCTGGATGACACTAAGAACACAGATGGCCAGTGTGGAAACAAAAACCTCAGAAACGGCTCTGGCGAGGATAAATTCAGGATTCGAACCAGGACAGACCACCCAGATCAACGGTTGAGAGTGGCACAGAGAGAAACCAGCGGGGTTGAACAGCATGTCAAGAACGCTGATAAGCCCAGTGTCAAACTGGGTCATGGCAACAATCACCAACGACAACAGGATGGACGGTTAGATCATCCTGGCTTCCTGGGGAAATCCCAGGGCTATGGGCCGACAAGGCAGGGTGGTGTCACTGCCGTCAAACAAAGGATTCTACAAAGAGGAAAGACTGTGGATGGACCAGAAGCCAGCCACGTTGGCGCTGTGGGATCCAACCGGTTCAGACCAGGGCACTTAGTGAGGACTCAGTCGACTGATGAAGGAAAAGAAATACACAGGGGTCCCAGGGAGTCACTGAACTATTCTGACAGAAGGATTTTGCAGGTTAATGACCAAAGAATTAGTAAAGGTGTGAGCAAAAAGACAAATTCTGTTACTGAAATGGAATCAGGAAATAGTGCCTGCATGAACGGTGACAGCATGCACAGGGGAAGCACAGCAGTATCCGAAAGCGCTGCCCTCTTGGATCACGTGGATAAGTTGAGCGTGAGAGCCAGACCAGACACGAACCTCCAAAACAAAAAGATGCGGGAGGGTCCTCCAGTGACGGCACTGCGACCAGGTCGGTCGGGAAGCCCTCGCAGTTGGAATTTTGCCACTCAGAGCATCGTCCCCCGATTTGCCAACAGGGAAGACTCGGAGATTCTGACTGCTATCCGAAAGAGCCCTACCTTCAAGGGTCCCAGTGACGAACGCAGACGACCTCTGGTGACAAACTGCAGTATAGATAGTGCAATGGACCAACAATTGTCAGACAATGCACCATATATTGCCAACAGTGTCGCTTCAAGTGCTGATTGCCTCTTGTCCGACAAACAGGACAGCATCAGTATTTTTGGCCCCGGAGATCTCATTAAAGATGTCATAGCTAAGACTGGATCCATCCATTCTGAGATACCCACTGCTCTGCTGGATCCTACAGAAGAAAGTGAAGTGAAATTTGATGGGCGGCTTCAAAGCATCTCGAGTCGTGATGTTGCACCAGGTCTGCCTCCGTCAGGCAGAGGAAAGAAGGTCTCAACCAAACCTCCTAGAAGCCGAGATGCTTGCACTGCTGAGGGTCTCTGTGACTGTGGAGAAGGTTTTAATCAAAGGTTGGTACTTTTTCTTTATCATCCTCTCTTTTATCCTGTGGCCAGTTAAAATATTTGGGTTGGAAGTGTATTTTATGATGTCTTAGGGAATTATATGTTTTCATGCTGTAAATTTGCCAATTGAACGCATTTTGACTCCAGCAAATTTAGCTGCAAATATTTTACGTATGAATTCGCTTTGCCTTTTTGGAAAATAAAAAATCACTACGTTTCTGGAAGAGATCTGGAAACTGAACAGCAGGTACATTGTGCACGAAAATCTTCAAAGTTCAGTTTTTAAAAAGTCACGCACATACATACATTGACAAATTTTCTACATATGACGTGTATTTTTTCTCAGTTTTGAAGTTTTTCTCTTTTGAATGTTTAACTCAGTTTTGGTAGACAAGTCTTTCAAATGAAATCATTTTTGCAAGTTGTGAAAGAGGAGGCTATCAGTTTTTGACTCCCTTTGAAATGCCGACAGTACCTACCGGTACATGTACATGTACAAGCTTTTGCTCTTGAATTTCTTGTCCTCAAAGTTCAGTTTATTAAATTTGTTGCATAGGCTAGTATCTTGTTACCCATTACACTATTTGTTGTTATTGAAAAATTAACCAATATATTTGCTTTCATTGTGCATGCAGTTTGACTTTTGAGGCGCTTGATTATTGAAACAAGCCTCAATGCATGGTCTAGCAAGTCAGGCAATCATACTAGTGGAGGAAAATGTATTGGTTTTAAGGGGTGGGGCTGTTTAGCAAATCTCTTGTATCGCTCACATTACAAACATTTTATGGACATTGTATTCCATTCCACACATTTCATCAATTTCCAAACATGTAACATTGCACAAAATCAAATTTGAAGAACGCCACTGGCGACTAATAGAAAAAACAGAAAATGTGTTCAGCTTTAGCACAAATGACAACTGACTATGTAAGTAAATGTACGGCAAATTTGACAGGAAAGTAGTGCTTGCCAGGGTTCATGAAAACAGGGCTAATTCAAGAGGTAGTTTGTTTCAAGGAAAATTTCTGAAAAGTTTTAATCAGTGATCATCAGCTGAATATTGCAATTTTCCAGAATGTATAAGATTTTGAGTTTTTACTGTGTTTAAAATAAAAAATACCCCAACATAGTGTTGGCTTCTAATGTATACACTGTACATGTACATGTACCGGTAGAAGGCTGTCACATTCTGAGTGAAATTCTGAGGCATTGGCAGATGAACACAGCGCCCTCTTGTGTTTTAAGCCGGTGATTTTTTACCAGCATGTGTATCATGTTAGTCGTGTTGTCAAGTGGGTGGACAGAGTTGATTGCACATTCACACATGCGTAGCCAGCAATGTTGAACAAGGGGTGGGGGAGGTGCACATCATTAATTGGACCGGATGGGGTCAGTTAAAAAGAGGATGCTGGGGGTGCTGTTTATGATATGATGTACAAACCGGGTACTTTGCGCTGGCAATATTGACTTTTTTGGTCCATGACTTATTTCTCTTACATTGCTAATTAGGCATTAACATTTTCAATGGGGCCTTCTTACATTTTATTCTTTTAGCCTTTAATTTTGTTTTTTGGGGGTTCTCTATGAAGCCCGGGAAGGGACAGGGTGGAAATTTTTTTGGAATTTCCTAATTCGTTAGCACAAATTACTAATTCGTTCGCATGAATTGCTAATTCGTTCGCACGAATTCCTATTTCGTTCGCACAAATTCCTAATTCGTTCGCACGAATTGCTATTTCGTTCGCACGAATTCCTAATTCGTTCGCCCGAATTACTAAATCGTGGGAACGAATTAGTAATTTGTTCGAAGGAATTAGTAGTTCGTTGGCACGAATTCCTATTTCGTTTGCACGAATTCCTAATTCGTTCGCACGAATTACTAATTCGTGGGAAAGAATTAGTAATTTGTTCGAAGGAATTAGTAGTTCGTTGGCACGAATTCCTATTTCGTTCGCACGAATAACTAATTCATTCGCACGAATAACTAATTCGTTCGCACGAATTACTAATTCGTTCGTACGAATTACTAATTCGTTCGCACGAATTACTAATCCGTACCCACGAATTGCTATTTCGTTCACACAAATTGCTATTTCGTTCCCACGAATTGCTAATTCGTTCCCACGAATTGCTAATTCATTCGCACGAATTGCTATTTCGTTCCCACAAATTGCTATTTCGTTCACACAAATTGCTATTTTGTCCCCACGAATTGCTAATTCGTTCGCACGAATTGCTAATTCATTTGCACGAATTGCTATTTCGTTCGCACGATTTCCTAATTCGTGGGAACGAATTGCTAACTCATGCATCCGGGAACGTTCCAGTAATTCGTGGGAACAAGTTGGTAATCCGTGCGAACGAATTAGCAATTCGTGGGAACGAATTAGCAATTCGTGGGAACGAATTAGCAACGCACGAATTAGTAATTCGTTCGCACGAATTACTAATTCGTTCGCACGAATTACTAATTCGTTCGCATGAATTACTAATTCGTTCGCACGAATTACTAATTCGTTCCCACGAATTGCTATTTCGTTCACACAAATTGCTATTTCGTTCCCACGAATTGCTAATTCGTTCGCACGAATTGCTAATTCATTTGCACGAATTGCTATTTCGTTCCCACGATTTCCTAATTCGTGGGAACGAATTGCTAACTCATGCATCCGGGAACGTGCCAGTAATTCGTGGGAACAAGTTGGTAATTCGTGGAAACGAATTAGCAATTCGTGCGAACGAATTAGCAATTCGTGCGAACGAGTTAGCAATTCGTGCGAACGAATTAGTAATTCGTGCGAACGAATTAGCAAACTCCAAAAAAATATTCCACCCTGTCCCTTCCCGGGCTTCATATTCAGCATAGCCAATTTGTTAATAATATTAAAGGGGTACTAGGTCCTGAAATCCCCGAAAATTTCATGTTTTGGATTGTTTATTAATCCTATTTCAAACATGTGGTTGAAAGGAAACCAACCTAATGTCTTACCGTTCCCGAGAAAAGAAAAAAAAAACCTGGTTGTTTACATCGGACACGACGGAGTACGAATACGTTTTTCGTGGCGTTGTCATACAGACGATATACACATTGTGTGTCTCGGGAACAGCGATGACCAATCACCAATGCAAAAAAAATTGTGGTTTCTTCAACGTCCGCAAAAGGCAAACACTTTACGCGTACGAATGAAATCACAACTAGCATCCAAACTGCTCAAATTAATATGGGGTCGCAAAAGCGGACCCCGAAATTCGTTTCTCGCACGCATAATACAGGAATAACACAAAAACGCCCAGTTTTTAAAGGATAGTTGTGTGGATGTTTCTATCCTAGTTTTAAATGTTCTTTCCGGTTAACATAATCTCTTTCAAAGTGCGTTTTGTAGCCCTATTGGGCTGTTCCAGAACCTAGTGTCCCTTTAATAACTTGGCTATGCTGGTGAAACATTCAGCTGAAGCTCTATTATACAATGTAATCTACCGGTCCGTTATTTGGTACATTACAAAATTTAGGGCTGTGCCATGTACCGAATGTATACTATCATCTACGGAATACAGAATAGCATTTTACCAATTAGAAGTCTCAGGAAGATGAGGAAAAACATCCGTGATGTAAATTCATTTTGCATGAAATACATACACATGTAATATTAGTAGCACGTTTGTTTATGGTGTAAATCGAGGATTTTCTTTTGCTCCTCTTTCCTTTTCCTTTGTTTTTAACTAACTCTTATTGGTTTTGTACACGTTTTCTAATCGAGGTCTCAGGTCGTACTCGATTAGGTTCCCGTCCTCGATTCACCGATAATGTTGCACCTGTGCGTCCTCAATTTACACCATAAACAAACAATGTCGCCTATGTTACCGGTACACACGTGTATCCGCAGGCATCATGACACTCACATGGTTGTTATTGTGAATAATTACTGTGTAATCGTGATGCAAAAGGAGCTTATAAATACATGCAGTTCAAAACCCTAATACACAGCCATGTATATAATTTTGTAATAGTGTACATTCATTACATAAATATGGGGTTCAGTACCAGTATGTACATTTGTACACGTACCGGTATATATGTACAATGTATGATACATGTCATGCACTATGGTGCATTGATCAGGAGTCCTGGCCCAGTGAATGTGTCACTATTATTAAGGAGTGTTAATACATTGTATATGTATGTATGTTCTGAATATTAAAATTTCATGACTTCATCATTAACACGTCTTGGCATAAATTTATTGAAACAGAAATATTTTTCAAGTGGAGAATCATTGATTGGTAGCTACCAGTATACAAAATAATTTGTAATTTGTCCATGAAATCATTTTCAGTTGGATTATATTGTCTCCTGAGTAAACTAAGATACATTGTACAATGTAAGTTTTAAAATTCAAAATTAGATTTTGTGGTGTTAGTAAAATTAAGAGGAAAAAAAAAACATGTGAAGATAAAAGTGCCATGCTGGCCTTTAAGTCAGTTTCCAAGAAAGTGCACTAGAGTGTGGTGAACGTCTGTGGCAAGTTCAGTTGCTCCTTTCTCTCAATTGATTTATTCCTCCGGAAGACTTGGAAATTAGTAACGCGATCCACTTCTCTCTGTCTGTCTTTCACTTGCACCCATGTGTTGCCACTTCATACATCCAAGTCCTGTACATCAGGCTCTGATTCTTGCCTCTGGGTTTTTTTTTTGGCTGCGCAGATGACGTCAATGTATGCTCTTGTGTACATAGCAGCATTACCGATGGCTTGCGTTTAAATGCAACTGCGTTGATGGAAAGACTCTCATTGATAAATGAAGCAGAGTGGGGATATTGTCCTGCGTTGTTGATGATTTTGGTTTGAAATTTTGTATTTTGTCATATTCAGTGCAGCTGCTCGATATTTTTTTCAAATTAGTTTAAGATTCAAAACATTAATCGTGTGTTTTGCATAATATTTGCATAAAATATCTGCCCATGGTCTAGAGTATTTTGGATACAAATTCCCACCACTGGAATGACTGGC